ACTCTTGTTCTCCATCTCATTGCCGAACTCACAGACCAGTTTGATGGAGTAGAAACTTTTCTACAACAACAAGACCGTCTTCCGGATTTCTATATAGCCCCGTCCAAACTTATTCTGGAAGAGGCCAGAAAAGCGAATCAGATTAGCCCCAACACATCTTTCTTAGCTGCTGCTAGACCCACTACTACCACCACCGGATAACATCTAACCGCTACTGCTCTTCACACCGCTGCTGGATACTCACCGTCACAGCAACCTGCTCCCGATTCTCAGCATAACCATCAGCATGGCAGAGGATATTCTGAATCAACACCTCGTGGACGTGACAGGGGCAGTCGTGGTTGAGGTCGCGGACGCGGTCGGGGTCGAAGTGGCAACTTTCATGGTCATCATTTTTATTCGCATCAGTGGAATTCTAATCCATATCAAAATTGGCAGCAATGGTCTCTTCCACCATGCCCCTATCTGACCGCACCTCCTTCTCGTCCTCTACACCCTGGTACACCCAGTTCAGGTATTCTTGGTGCTCCTCCTGCTCAAGCGTATGCTGCTTCAGAAAATTATTATATGCCCACCAACATTGAGCAAGCCTTGCACACTATGACCTTGAACCCATATCAAAACTGGTATCTCGACACTGGGGCTACAAATCACATGACTCATTCGACAGGTACACTCTCCTCTTATATCAATAATAGCATTCCAAACCATATTGTTATTGGAAACGGTTTCAAAATACCTATCAACGGGACGGGACACATGACACTTTCCCCACCTCTTCCACCTTTCAAAATAAACAATGCTCTCGTTGCTCTGCATCTTATTAAAAAACTTTTATCCGTTCGTTTCCTTACAACAGATAATCATATTGCCATTGAATTTGACCCTTTTGGTTTTCTTTTGAAAGACTTACAGACCAAGATTCCTATCCTCCGATGTGATAGCACCGGAGACCTCTATCCGCTCTCTCTACTAACAGCTCGTACCAGTCCTTCCACTTTTACAGCTCTTTCTCAAGACTTATAGCATCAGCGTCTAGGCCATCCTGGCGTTTCTTTATTATGTATTTTGAATAAGCATAAGTCTATCTATGTTTCTAAATTTTCAGATTCAAAAATATGTCAATCTTGTGTTTTTGGGAAACATATTAAATTTCCATTTAACGACTCTTTGGCTACTATAATGCTCCCATTTGATATTATACATAGTGATTTGTGGACCTCCCCAATTCTTAGCTCGGGTGGTCATAGATATTATATATTGTTTCTTGATGACTATACAAATTTTTTGTGGACATATCCTATTACAAATAAATCATCAGTCTTCTCTATCTTTTCTTCTTTTCACCGTCTCATCAAAACACAATTCAATCACACTATTAAAACTTTTCAATGTGATAATGGAACAGAATACAATAGCAAAATGTTTCATGATTTTTGTACCACAAATGGCATGTTATTTTGTTTCTCTTGTCCACAGACTTCCTCTCAAAACGGTAAGGCCGAACGCAAACTTCATTCTATTAATAACATCCTTTGTACTCTTCTCACTCATGCTTCCGTCCCTCCCATCTTTTGGCATCATGCTTTACAAATGGCTACTTACATCTTGAATATACTTCCAAGCAAGACCAAACAAAATCAAACACCCACCTCACTCCTCTATCACAAACACCCCTCCTATTCTCATCTTCGAACATTCGTTTGTCTCTATTACCCACTCCTTCCTTCTTCTTCTATCCATAAACTTCAAAACCGGTCAACTCCATGTGTTTTTCTAGGGTATCCCTCCAATCATAGAGGGTTCAAATGCTATGATCTATCTTCCCGTACAGTACTTCTCTCTCGTCATGTCATCTTCGAAGAAAATGTTTTCCCCCTCCAACCTATCCACTCTGCTCGTCCAAAATATGATTTCCTTCACTCTCAACTTTCCTCTGAACCTCACCCATCTTTGTGGGAATCAGTTGCTCCTACCACTACCACCCCTACTCCTCTTCCGACAAACTCAAGCCTAACTCCTTCCCCTTCCCCTCATAGTCCTACGACTAGTTCCCCCGTTACAAATTCTGGTCCAATCACTCCTCCACCCACTACTACCATCCCCTTATCCTCAACCAATCAGTCAAACGCAACAACAATAGCCTCCCCCCACTTCAAACTTATAGCCGATGCCCCAAACCAACACAATCCGCTCCACCCTCAACCGACTCTACACTACCTCCTTCAGCCAATGCCTCACCACCACCAACCCGCACAATGACAACATGTAGCATGACAGGCATTACCAAAACCAAACTTCCCTTTAATCTAAACACCATTTCCACCACCACCTTTGAACCGCTACCTCGCAACACACATGACGCATTAGCCAACCCTATTTGGAACCGTGCCATGACAAATGAGTTTAATGCTCTTATTGACAATCAGACGTGGGAGCTTGTACCCCAACAACATGACATGAATCTAATTCGTTGTATCTGGATATCCAAACATAAAACTAAATCAGATGGCTCACTTCAACACTATAAAGCAGGTTTAGTTTGTGATGGCAGGTCTCAACAAATTGGGGTGGATTGTCATGAAACGTTTAGTCCCGTAGTAAATCCCGCTACCATCTATACGGTCCTTAGCATTTTTTTATTTAACAGGTGGGAGATTAATCAACTCGATGTAAAGAATGCATTTCTCCATGGCTATTTATCTGAGAAAGTGTATATGCATCAACCGTTGGGCTTTCGTGATTCCCGTTTTCCACATCATGTGTGTCGACTGAAAAACTCTCTATACAGGCTCAAACAGGCGCCGAGGGCTTGGTACCAATAGTTCACAGATTATGTAACCACCTTGGGTTTTCACCACAGCTCATGTGACCATTCTCTGTTTATTTATCGCAACGGGCAGGAGACAGCCTATCTACTTCTTTATGTAGATGATATTATTCTCACCAATTCCTCTCTGGCACTAAAGGCACATCTTATGTCTTGTCTGTCTTCCGAGTTTGCAATGAAAGACCTCAGCCCTATCAATTATTTTCTTAGCATCTCTGTCAGCCGAGATCATCACGACCTGTTTCTCTCACAACAGAAATATGCCTTAGACATTTTAGCGCGTGAAAAACTGACCAACTGTAATCCTGTTCATACTCCTGTTGATACATCTGGTAATCTCAGTTCGACTGGCGGGGAGCTCCTTACCGATGCCACTTTCTACCAGAGCCTTGTCGGGGCACTTCAATACCTAACCTTCACGCGTCCAGATATTTCCTATGTCGTGCAACAGGTGTGCATGCACATGCATGCCCCGCGTACCTCTCACTTCAACGCACTAAAACAGATTCTTCGTTACATTAAGGGTACGATATCGATGGGTCTTTATATGCGATGCAGCACCCACAATTCTCTTATCTCCTATACTGATGCAGATTAGGCCGGTTGCCCTGACACTAGACGTTCAACATCCGGATACTGTGTATATCTTGGAGATAATCTTATTTCTTGGTCCTTTAAAAGACAATCTACGATATTTCGTTCAAGTGCGGAGGCGGAATACCGTAGGGTTGCACACGTTGTAGTCGAAGTCTGTTGGATTCGCAATCTCCTCTTGGAGCTGGGCCGACCTCCCACTCGCACTTCCATTGTTTACCGTGACAATGTGAGTGCCATTTACATGACAGGGAATCCTATTCAACACCAACACATGAAGCATATTGAGATTGACATCCATTTTGTGCGTGAAAAAGTTCAAAGAGGCCAGATTCGTGTTATACATGTACCTTCTCGATACCAGTTAGCAGATATATTCACCAAGGGCTTGCCAAGATTTCTATTCACTGATTTCCGCATCAATCTAAGCATCTGAGAACCTCCTCCTTAGACTAAGGGGGTATGTTAGAATAGAAGACGAATAGTATTATTTAGATTCTATGAGGTGCTAAAGTGTAAATAGACAAACCCTTGTATCTATATATAATTACGTACAATGAGAAGGATCGGCAATTTTGGAGCATAATCTATTAATAGGGTTTCTAATTCCATTAAGTCCATGAGCTAAAACACATGTGATGACATTGCTTCTAAAAGCTCAACTAACGGAGTTAAGGACATTTTTGCACCAATGTCGTTCCATGGCTCAACTAATTTATGCATTCATATACTATGATCATATAAGATACTTTATAGACTAACTCCATGATCATAATGCATTCTCATTGAATCAATATCTCCCCACAAATTATGGAAATGCCAATTCCATTCCAAAGTCCATGATTATCTATTTTCCAAACTAAAACACTTGGAATCACTTTGGATCTATTGGTTTGAGTTCCGTAATCATTTTAAACTCATTTCAAAAATAATTTAATGATCTAGCTAGACAAGTTAAAATGTTAAATAACACAATTTTCCAATATATGAGCTGATTTCTTCAACTCTACATTTTCCCCAATTCTATACTTAATAACTAAATATTTCTTTAACTGTGCATTCACAACTTCTTTTCATATCACATAAAAGCATACATAACAAAAAATAGAACCAAAACATAAAGGTCAATGTCATAAATGAGTAACATACTATTTGATTTTTTATTTTACAAAACACCATTATTTTCAAAAGTACAATAAATGAATAACGAACGATTTAATTTGGGAAAATCTATACGTACCCCAAAATGCTTAATGTATCCCCTTGTGAGTTGAATATAAATTTCCAATTATTTAGCGAATGATTGTACCTTTAAGAAAATGGTGTTTTGTGAATAAAAAAAAGCATTACCCATTTATTTATGATATTAACCAAACATATATATATATATATATATATATATATATATATATATATATATATATATATATATATATATATATATATATATATATATATATATATATATATCATATTTGGACAAAGTTTGCATTTTGCCATGTACTCAGTGACATGAGTGGTTAAATGTGTCTGCTAAAAGGTTTTATTTTATTTTATTTATTTATTTTTGGAAAAAGCTGTGTTTGCTAAAAGCTATATACACAAATATAGCATTCTTCTTCTACCCTTTCCACTAAACATTGCTATTCTTTTACAAGCTTTACAATCAATGCACACAAGAAGAACAAATAGGTATAAAAGGACAAAAAAAATGGTCAAACCTTAGCTAGAAATTATTTAAAATAACTACAAGTTTTGAGTTTGAATCACATTTACAAATCAAACAAACATAAACAAAATTGTCATCATAAACCACCATTTCTTAAACTATATTTTCATCAACATCAAAATCTCTAGAGTTTGGAGGTTGAGTCAATGAAGGTGATTCAGTTTCAAGAGTAGAAGGAAAACTATCCGAGATAGTTTCCCGAGAAACTTCGCCCTTTGGTTGTTGTCTATGGTGCAAGAAGGTCGGTTTTAATGGTGATTTTACCATTTCGACCTTCCAAGTCAACATTGCCACAATCTCCGACATTGCTGGTCTTATGTTTGGATGAGATTGAAGACATAATAATGCCATATGAATTGTTTTCATAACATCTTTTACTGAAAAACCATCTTTTTGCATTCTTGAATCTATGAGATCAATCAGTTTTGACCTCTCGTATAGCTTCCATGCCTTGCATCATAAAACATGAAAACCAGTCAATCAAGTGTGTATTGTTGTAAACCATGAAAGAGCATTTGGATTGTAGAATTTTTTTTTTTTTGGAAGAATTTGAATCTATTAAAAGAATTGTAAATAAAAAAAAAATTACATATTCCGGGAGATATTGCATTTCTGATGGCAGTGTAAGATCGGTATTTTTCCTGCAACTAATAATCTCAAGAACCAAAACTCCAAAACTATAAATGTCAGCCTTTTCAGATAACTCCCCTCTGATTGCATATTCTGGGGCTGTATAACCTCTACAAATCACAAAAACCTTGTCATTTTCTCAAATATTTTTATTTAGACAACACTTAACGATTAAAAAAAAAAAAAAAAAAAAAAAAACTTACAATGTTCCAGCTAATGTGGCACTGAGATAAGCTTGGTTTTCAGGGAAGAATCTAGCAAGACCAAAATCTCCAATTCTTGGATGAAAATTTCCATCAAGGAGAATGTTACTTGCTTTAATATCTCTATGAACAATTCTGAGGTGTGACTCTTCATGTAGATATTGTAATCCCCTAGCAATTCCCAATATAATTTGGAATCTCATGTTCCAATTCAAGTATTGGTTGCTTTTTCCTATTTTTATAGAATCAAATGGTTAAAAACAAAATAAGAGTCTAATGCATGATGTTAGAATTGAATTTATAGTGTTATACTACCATAAATAATGAGGTCTAAACTCCTGTTCTTCATGTATTCATATACAAGTACTCTTTGAGGTCCTTCAGAGCAACAACCAAGAAGGCGTAAAAGGTTCTTGTGTTGTATGCTTGTGATCATTCTCACTTCTGCAAGAAACTCTTCTTCTCCTTGTTGTGATTTTTCAAGAGATAGTTTCTTTATAGCGACCAATCTTCCATCTTGTAACTTACCCTATAAAAAACCACTTTAATTTACTTATATCTTAAACAACAATCGGCTATAACTTTTTCAATATATATAATATCGATCAAAGTAGATTTCAAGGGAACGATTAACGAACCAGATACACAGGTCCAAATCCACCTTCTCCAAGAAGATTACACTCGTCAAAATTCTTAGATGCTTCCTTTAATGTTCGAAAGCTGAAATAGCTTATTGTTTGAAGTTTCCCACTAAAGTAGTCTTTCGCAGCTGCAATTCACAAGAGAATATTTAGGTGTCGATGCAAAAAGCACCTTAAAGATCATAAATTATAGAATATGGAAAAACATATTGAAATAAAAATACAACCTTTACAGCTGTCTTCACGTTTTACACACTTTCCTAGTTGTGTTGTTCGGATTGATTTCCGAAAGGCAAAAATAATAATCAGCAAAACTAGGCACAAGACTAAGCCTCCGATGATATAGAATACGCCCCATGTGTGATGCTTCATGGATAAGTTGTCTTCCTGAAGTGTTTCTTCTGCTTTAAAGAAAGATAATATTCTGTTCTTATCAAGTAAGCAACTTTCATTACAGTTTAACATATAATTAGAATCTTGAATTACCAAGTGTCTTAGAAGCTGACATCATTTACACGGAGCAAAGATTATAGTACTAAATTTGAACCTTGTAATGTTGTATACTTTAAATATTAATGTTTACTTTGAAAAAGAAGGTAAACAAGTTGTAAGCTGTTAACCCAATCTTTTAGAAGATGAACAAGATCATTTTCTTGAAATTCCATGACAATAGGATTTCATTATATAGCTCAAACATCGAAATCCCAACTTAAGATGACACAATTTCTTGAAGAGTAAGTGAATCAGATATCTTTTTATATCAAATCTATGGACACCAGGTGCTTGTTTAAACTTCTCCAATTGCGCATTTACTCAATAAAGACTAAAAAAAGCACAAACTATGGAATGTACAATGAGAATCATGATAAATACCTTGAAGTAGGCGACGCATTTCTCCTTATCCAATCGTTATCGTCTCTATATCCTCCAATACTCATTCGCAGGGATAAAATGGCGAGTAAGTTGAGAAACTAGCTTCTCCGATTCCAATAACTTTTTCTGTTTGTCTTCATATATCGAGACAGGTAACAGATTAAAGGAGAGGTGACTAACGACAAAGCCGAGATGATCGAAGCAGAATAACATATTATCGGAGATTTCAAAGTGTAGTGTATCTGAAGAAGGGTGTATGGAGTTGAGTAAAAAACTACAAAAGGATTGTCTTGTTGTTGAAGACGGCAAATCAGCAGAAGGGGTCAGGATCATGAAGGAAAATAGTTGTGAACGTGTGATTGGATTTGCGAATAGAGTAATGATATTAATTGGGGGAAACGGGAAGATTGTTATCCTGATATCGGACTTGTAGCGACAGCAGTAGCAGCGACCATAGAATTGTTCAGAACCGGAAAGCATCTCTCTTTGGCTTTTCAAGCTTCCCTCTCTGCTCTTTTTCGTTTGTTCGTTTCTTCGTTACTCTTTTTTTTCTTAAATAATAAATAAATTAAAAGATAAATCTATTGTTAAGGTAGTTATAAAAAAAAACATTAAATCACAATTCTAATTTAATATTGTGTTTTTTTATTCTCAAATTTGATATATGTTTTTAATTTTTTACGATTCTAACAATTTAATCGGTTAACCTGGTTGTTTGATGACGTGATATGATGTTGCATCAGTTTTGATGATTTGTCACTCTGACTTTGAATGCTAACATATTAAAAAAAAAAAAAAAAACAAAACAAAATACACTATTTTTTTCTTAATTTTGACACTCAATTTTTTTGTTCTTACTTTTTTCAGTTTTCAATTTTTTTTGTTCCATTTAAAACCAAATAAATAATTTTTATTACATTTGAAATCATATAAATATATTTTTTATATTTAAAAACCATATGTATTAATTATATTATAACCGTATTTTTTATGTACTATTTGATTATATGGCGCTGATGTTACATCATAACAGGTAACACAAAACCTTGTACTTATACAAAAATATAGTTTTTAAAGGAAAAACAAAAATACATTTATATTAATGTTCTAAAAAGCTTGACATGACGCACCATGGATCAAATGCTTGAATTTGACACCAAACTTTAATATAATGTCATCTGAAGTCATATAAGTATATAAAAATGAATAATAGTAGAAAATATATAAAATTATCGCTTTAAGTCATGTATTACAAATGATATGTTTCGATATGACTCGTAAAAGCTTGAAGTTTGACATTGGCATCAAAGTCGCGTCTAATATTATTTAGAACCTTGATTTATACGGTTTCAAATGTAAAAAGAATCTACAGTTTCAAATATTCAATCTGGAACAAAAAATAGAGTGTCAAAAAATAAAATAAAATAACCTTAGTGTCAAAATTGAAAAAAATAAAAACTTAGTATTTTTTGTGTGCTATTTCCCTACAATTATTCCATGTTGGTAGGGACAAAAATTATAATAAAATCAAACAGTTAGACGATTCATGTAATTTACCTTAAAATAAATAAATGGTTTTGCTAAATTGACACCCTATGGTTAGTCCGAATTCACATTGTTAGTCCTAGTTTGAAAAATGTAACTATTTAGTTCCTTATTGTTGGTAATTTGTAACAAGCACGTCCATGGCCTAACTTCTGTTTCTTTCTCTCGTTAGACCACACCCATGCGACCCTAATGTAAGGGAATATTGGTATTTTCCTCTTGAATGCCCTCACATTAACTTCTTGATGCCATATTCTAACATTTAATGAGAGGTGACAGAGATCATCATTACGTGAAGAGATATTAAATATCCTCATGTTTTTTCTTTTTACTTATCTTCCTACTCATATGAAATAGTGACAAGTATCATATTTTGTTAAAATTAATAATATTTAAAAACATTTGTCATCATTTCAACTTCTCCGTAACCATCTCCACAACAAACTCTATCACAACAAGATCCTCATCAATCTCCCCATTAGACTCCTCCTCAATTTAGAGAATTGGAGCCATCAATATCCTCAGATCATTCTAATGACTCACCAACCACTCTTCAAAGAACAAGAGACTGGATGGTCGTTAAGTTTGTCGAACAAATATGGATGGGAACATGGATTTGATACAACCATGGATGAGACCTTAATCAACTCTTCGGTAAATTCTACCCGAAGGCTTCTTGATGATGATTATAGGCCTATCTTGACCTATGTTGATCCTCCATCCGATGGGTACTGGGGCATACTAATCTTTCCAAACTCCAAGTTTTTCCCCGTTTTTGAGCCATTTGATCTCAACCTCCCATATAATCAAAGACATCCCCTTGAATTTGGACATTTAAATTTGTTTCATGCCAAGCATGGTACTGACTTTGAAAATATTTGGTCTAATGACAGACCAACAGGGGTTAAGAATTACAAAGGGAAGAAGTTTATGAAGACTGACTTTGTTCAGTATACCCTCACTGGGATAGGAGATGATTACATCCAGACGCAGACTGATTTCCCCTGCATGAACCTAGAAGAAACTTTCTTGATTGCAAGGGTTTTTTAGATCAAAGCTAAAAAAATCCGAAGATGAAGATTGCCTATGAGAAAGCTTGTGGGTTTCTTAAAGCATTAGTATGCGATTTTGGGAAAATTAATGTCGAAATTCACCCTGTTCCAGCCAAATAGTTCAACTTTCCAGACTTCAAGCCTGCACCAAGCTTCACTGAAGGTTATCAAGATATGTCACTCGGAGCAACAAACTATCCGACGTTAGGAGTTTTTTACAAGAAAGCCAACAGTAATCTCAAATACTTCATACCTGTTACCGCAATGCATAGATTAACCAAGAAGCAACGGGATACCACCTTATCTTCGGTTCAAAGATCCAAGAATACAACAGATGAAGGCAAGTTTGAGATAACCAGAAGAATCCATTGGCTATGCGAAGTGAGGAAATTATGGTGGATCCTTATCAAATTCCTGAAACTCAACAAATAAAGAAGAAAGTTGAAGAGGTCACTTTGGGGGAAAATGTTGATACAAAAGTGACCCTCTTTAACTTTAAGGATCCGTAGTCTTGTTTTGTGTCTTCCGCAGTTGGAGTGGCTACCGCAACTGAAGTTTGTCTACCAAAGTTGAAATTGAAGAAGTTGTTTTGAGAACCATAGTGATCCGCAATCACTATTGCAGTAAAAAATTATGAAGACTTTTGGTTACGTTAATTGACTTAGCGTGTTAGCATAACTTTATCCCGTGAACCTTGCATGGTCACCTACGCCAGTAGAATATTAGTTGTTTATTTTAAATGTAACTTTTTGGGACTCTATAAATAGAGACTCCCTTCATCATGTAAACACACCACTTCTTCAAGATCTTTCTGAGCTTTCATTGAAATACAAAATATCATTCTCTCTATATCTTATCTGAATTTCCGAGTTCCTCTTCACCTTAAACTATTCACATTTACTAACTTGTGTTTGATTATAAACCTTCTTGCGAATCAGTTTGGCATATACTTGATATAACTTGTTGTCATTTATATTTCCTTTACATTTCTACACGTTACATTTCTGTAACTAACTATCTAACAATTCTAACTTATTATCGTTGAGCTAACATGATTCTTTGAGATTAACTTTTTCCGCAACTATTATCTTGTACTAACGTTTGTTCAAGTGTTTCTCAAAAGTTTTTCTCTCAACACATCCCACTAACATGTGCCCATTATTGCAAGAGGATACAATTGCAGTAAAAGCCGTCGGAGGCTATCAATACAATTATCAGAACAATTTTTTTTTTGCAACAACAACAATATCATAATCCACCTAGATTTCAGTAGCAACAAAATTTTCTACCATTTGGGTTTTCAATATTCGAATTATCAACAACAACAATTTTAGAACTAGTCTCCAAATTAGTAAGCCAGTAGTTCTACCATGTCCCAGGAAGATATAGTGAAAAGCCTTGCCACCGACACTCATGCATTTCAAAATGAAACTAGAGAAACTGTAAAAGATCTGGAGCATCAAATGTCTCAGCTTGGCACTTCTGTGATTCGATCGAAGTCTTAAAGAAAACTACATGTACAAACTGAAAACAACCTAAAGCACAAAGTGAGCACGATTTACTTAAGAATCAGGAAAAGTTACAAAGACCCACGAAAATCTGAACCAGAAGAAGAATCTGAAGAAGTTTTGGGTGACAAAGAAGTTGAAAAGGTGGAAGAAAAAGAGCCTCCAAAGCAACCCAATCTAGTTCTGAAAAAGTACAAGTCGTTGCCACCATTCCCATCATGACTGAAGAGTACAAAACGTGAGCGACAATATGAGGACATCGTGGAAATGAATTATGTGTTTCAAAGAAAAATTTTAAAACTAATTTTTAAATGAATTATGTGTTTCAAAGAAAAAATTTAAAACTAACAAAACATTAAAAGTTAGTGTGAATATTTCAGCTATTTTGCAAAAAGGTTTACATCCAAAGTGCAAGGATTCGAGAGTTTTTTCGATTCCTTGTGAATTCTGTAACCTTAATTTTCAAAAAGTCATGCTTCGACTAGCAGCTTCAGTCAATGTCCTTCCCTTTTCTGTTTTTGAAAAATTAAAATTAGGAACATTAAAAAAAGAACGAGACTATTATCTAGTTGGCTGACAACTTAACAGTACACTCAAACAGTTTATTGGAGAATTAGTGTAACATCCCGAGATTTTGTAGGTATTTTTGAATCTTTCTATCATTATTATCATTGTCATTTTTAGTCCTTGGGGTTGGGAGGATATAGCCATCTGATGCCCTAATGGCTAATAACTCAATTTTGGACCAGGAGGAGTACGCTGCATGTACATAAGGGTACATTGAGCGTACTAGGCATGCCCTAGTATGTTAGGCGTACACTTGTGTAAGCTGGGTGTACTCACGTCAGGAGAAAACCCTAATATTTAGGGTTTAGGTACTATATAAGTGTCCTTATGAGCTCATAACCCTCTATCATTTCAGCTTCCATAGCTTTGACCCGTTTTCCCCAAACCCTAACCCCTCTCTTGAGTGTGTGAGCTAAAAGTGTATGTTTTGAGTAGTTGAAGAAGAAGGTATTGCCTCAAGGTGTTGGAGAAGTGAGGTAAGCTTGAAGATATGAGAATACCATGTTCTTTAGAGGCTTCAGGAGGTAAAAAGCTCCTGCCTTTATGCTTATATGATGCAGATCTTGCATTAATAGCTTATGTCACCTTTCTTGTCCCAAAAAGTCCCAAGTTCATGCATGTTATGTTTTGGACGTGTTAAGCTGTGCTTTCAGACCCTAGGAAGGGTTCAAAATGATAAAAATTATGTCCCGATGGCTAGAAGTGTCCCAAGCAAGTAGCAGGAATGTCTTAATGGATTAATACCATGTATTAAGGACTTTTTGGATGTCCAAAGTCTTAAAGTTCGAGACTTTATGGTTCTGAGGTT